CATAACTGAAACAGCGAAAAACCTATAACCGTAATAAAAGTATGAAATCCTACACTGCTGAATAGTTAATCATGATCTAAAACTGTATAATAAACACTATAGGAGACCAACAACTGTATGCTTGGATACTCAATGTACTTGCTGCCGCTTGTTATCATTATCAGCATTGGAATTAGTTTAACGCGTCGAATTAAGTATTGCAAATTATTAAAGACCATGATATGAACATCTTGAAAAACAGAATGTAGAATGGCGATTTTTAACACAGTAGCAACAAAAGGGGCGAATCCTAATTTGTAGACTAGCTTGTGTTATATTCTAATGCGTATAAAAGCCTTGAGATTTTTTTGTTGTAGTTCATTTGGATATTTTATACTTGATATTCAACCACAACATATGGGTCAAAAAATCAACGTTTCTTGTATGTTTTTCTACCCATCAGCAGTTTTCAGTGAATTAAATCGACCACTTAATCAGACTTGAGAAGATATGAAAATGCATAAATCTGAACAAAAGAAATACTGAAATATTGAACCAGATCAGTGTAAAGTGGGACACTTGTGACAGAAATCTCTTTCATATACTTTTACAACTTACTCATTTTTATATAAGTTCTCACACCTCCAGATTATTCGCCATTCCAAACAGGATTGGATCCACGAGAAATCATGACCACCGTAGTCTAGCCAGAGTTATCATGTTTAAATGATTCTCCTTCTAAAGTATTGAAATCAACTATACTGACAATACAAATATTAATCATACATACAATTTGTTTCCGATACTACCCTGTTGTTAGATATTGTGTAACGACTCATTGCCATTGGCAAAACGTTCAGCAACGACCTCCGGATTGGGAGAAAACCCACCAAAACCGAGTGAACAAACAGAAACAAATTGTATGGCATTAAAACGTCGCGCTTGTCGGCTCCAAATTGATAATAATGACAATAATGAAAAGTGGGCGGCGTAAATAGGTAGTACCGTGGCGGTGCTGCTGGCTGCCGCACACACAGGAAGAACGTACCCGTAATTAGACACGCGGGCTGTCATTCGCTGCTGCTGGCCGTTAGTGTTTTGTTTTCGCTCTTTAGCGAGAACACGCACGCATGGAATAGTGGTAGTGGGCGATGTACTAGTCAGCGTTGGTTTGTTTGTAATGAAATTGTACTGTCTCACTGATTGTAGCCATGTCGTTTAAACAGCTTTACATAACGATGTTGACGTATTTTCTGAAACGTGTCTCATGCTTCATTGCACTTCAAGAAGCTACGTATTAACCACATCAACTTACTGTTAGCACCTGGCTAACGCAAGGCTGACCTTGTAGTCATTATGCATGCAAGTCACCAGTCAAGGTAAACCTTGAATAGCAATGGGACTGATGCACGAAATTGAAAGTGTTGAAAGCTTCAGGATGTTCCTAATTTTGATAAAGGGGGTACACCCGCTCCAAGGCCTTTCCAAAACTGTTGAACTAATGAAGAAAATGACATTACAACTTGCCTTTTCTCATGGAGGACATGACAAGGAAGGCTCTCCAAGAATGAATTTTCGCATTTATTGACCAGCCAAGCCCTCATCAATGTAACAAAGTTGTAAGCATCATTCCAAGTTTGTTTTTAAACAATTGTGCACGTATTTTTTTAGCACTGACCAATCATTATGATTTTAGCAATTCTCCTTTCAAAGTAGTCACCTGGTCAGTAGGAATGCTTCATCTGGATTGTATCATTTTCCCCAAATAACATTGGTTGTGGATGGTAGAAGCACCAGGTGCCAATTCAATACTAACTTCATCACCAACTTGTATTATTTACGAGTCTGCAAAGGTTCAATTTGATTAGGTGATTGATGTCTTCTTGGTGCACTGTATCACATGCCATTTGAATTTGGGTTTCATAGACCCACCAAAGTTTGTGGAGGGTGCGGTGAATTCTGCAACCCTCTTCCCATCATTTCCCATACATGTTACATGCTACCATATGAAAGACTGCTAACAAGGTAACAATTTTATAGAATACTATAGCAGTGTTAGAGAAAACCTAGGTAATAATGCAAAGAATCAACGTACTAAATTCAATAAAATTACAATCTGCAGATCATTTTCCTCGAAAAAACGTGCGAGGAAGAAGTAGCCTCCACGATATTGTCACCCAAAAATAAGAAATCTCCAGGAACTGATGGAATTCGTGCTGAAGTGTTAAAAATAGTTGCAAAACAAGTAGCTAAACCACTTTGCTGTATATTTAATTGGATCTTTAGGGAAGTGCACACACCTAAAGTATTTAAACTAAGCTCGTCACCACCAATTTACGAAGCAGGAGATGAACTAGAGTTATCCAATTATAGACCTATACTAAGTGACATATAAATCCGAACACCCAGTTTAAATGGTTTTATTTTAATAAGAACTGGTGAATGTATTTATCTTACTGTAAATAACAAGTGAAAAAATTTTCAGCCTTATCAGTTGGACATTCCGGTTTTTATACTGCTTTTTCTTAATTCACTAACGCTCTAAAGATGAATATTTCAGCCGCAGTAAAGAATCAACTTTGGAGGATTTTGGTTCTTGACATCCTTTACGATCGGTTACGATGCCTAGAGTACGGAGACCTGTACGATTTCGTCAGCTGAGTGAGTGAGTGAGTGAGTTTGATAGGGGCCGTATAGTGGGACTTCGGGAAGCTGGACTTTCTTTTCGGGCAATTGCAGTTAGAGTGCAAAGAAGTGTAGACACTGTGGTTAGGTGTTGTCAGGCATGGCTTCGAGAAGGCCGTACGCAAAGAGCAAGGGGCACTGGACGCCGCCGTAGAACAACAGACCGTGAAGATCGCCGCCTAAGATTATTGGCCTTAAGGGACCGTTTTTCTCCACTACCAGGTCCATTGCAAATGAATGGTTTGCAGAACACGGAAGACCTATTGGCATGCGAAGTGTTTACCGACGAATCAGAAGTTTTGGCTTGTTTTCATACCGGCCACACTGGGTCCTCCCTTTCACTCGAGAACAGCGACGTAATCGCCTTGAGTGGTGCAGACAACGGTCACTCTGGGATCGGGAATGGAACAGTATTGTCTTTAGTGACGAGTCTCGATTTTGTTTAGGCATGCACGATGGTCGTGCCAGGGTTAGAAGGCGACGTGGTGAAAGGAGGAATCCACAGTTTTTTGTTGAAAGACATGTTCATCACACTGTTGGAGTTATGGTTCCAGGTCACCTTTAATCTTCATCAGAGGTAACATGAACGCGCAGCGTTATATCCACGAAGTTCTAGAACCCAATCTTTTACCCTATCTTGACACCCTGGCAGATCCAACTTTCCAACAAGATAATGCCCGACCACATGTTGCAAGAGTCACAATAGACTTCTTTCAACATAATGATGTCACATTGTTACCATGGCCACCAAGATCTCCCGACTTATCCCCAATTGAGCACGTGTGGGATATGATGGGTAGGAGATTGCTCAATTTGCAATGTCCTCCTCAGACTCTAGAAGCACTTCGAGAGGAGTTGGTGGTTGTCTGGAATGAGATACCACAGGAGGACATTGACCACCTGATCAGAAGCATACCTAGGCGCGTTGGAGAATGCGTAGCACATCAGGGTGCATCCACACATTATTAAAGGTCAAAGGGCTTTAAAGCAGTGCGATCATTTTGAAATTTTTATCATTTACTTATTATGCATCACTAAGTGCTTATACAAATTTTATTAAAATAAAATCATTTAAACTGGGTGTTCGGATTTATATGTCACTTAGTATGTATTGGTCTGCATGTGTATAAAATATTTGATGTGTGAAAAAATCATTACTGAATATACTGCCAATGAAGTATATCTATTGGCTGTGCCCGACGGGTTATTTTTACGTTGTGCTTTCTGAAGAGAGGTTATGTTCAGTTATAAATTACGAAAAACTGAGGAGAATTACGGGAAATCATCACCGCGCCCGCGTTGTGTGTAATTACTGTTAGCATGTATATGGCTTGAAATTCGACAGTGTACAGTCAATATAATTATTTCTTATCTCTCTCATTTTTTAAATTCAGCAAATTTGTATATGTAATTTCTAGAATGGATAAGAAAAAGTGGATGCGCAACTAATTTCTAGCTTTGACTCTCAATTAAGTGTATTTGAGACAAGAACCCAATGTAATTATCATCAACACAACACAACAGAAGCAGGTTTTACATCATATCAGAGCCAAAGATTGATAACAAGCCTCATGACGTTTAGGCAACACGTACAACTAAGTGATAAGTTAATATCTTGTAGAAAAACCTACATAATGCCAAAAAAACAGCATAATGTCAAAACAAAAATCAGCATAATGTCACTTTTGAAGACACGTGATACCCGTGCGGATCTTGATATGACAAAAAAAGCCTTTGCAAAAAAAGTACGGCCCGGAATGCCTTCAACATTTTATCAGCGAGTACTTCCATGATAGCAAATATGTTTACACGCATCTATCAAAATCCAATAAATAATTCTGGGTGTTGCATTTTATATGTCACTTAGTATATAAACATTTCTCCTTTAGCGGTGTGTCAGTGACGACACCACGGCCGACCAGTTTTAGTTTGTTACCCGTTGCACAGTCGACGGTTGCCTCCACGACAATGCAGCATCGCGTCGTGCGCGCAACGCCAAGGATTGCTAAGTTATTTCCAATTACGAGCACATTATACATCGGACTTTTTTTCGATTTTCCTGTTGTTACCGGGATCAGAAGCTTCTCAATGATAGAACGTCTTTGACTAATAGTAATGACGTTACATTTACAACCTCTTAATCTCTACAACCCCAAAGCTTCAACCGTTACAAAAGAATTTCGAAAATCGTCTCACCCCCTGAAAAGTCGAAAAACGAAGTTTAAGCGATTTCGTGTTTTTGCCCCTAGCTCCGCCATCACTAAGCCTATTTTCAAAAACTGCAAATCTTGTTCATCCTTGTGTGAAAATTTCATCAAAATCCGAGCGGTACTTCTCAAGTTATGGGCGGTTATAGAATTTTCGTGATGTACATGTCATATAACATCCAAAAAAACATAATGAGCCATATTCATAAAAGAGAAGCATATCCTCGGAAGCATAAGGTAAAAGTATAAGGTCTTGCTTCGGAGAAAAAGGTACAAGTGTAAGCATATCCTTGTTTTCATATTCATAATGATTACCTTACTCGCGAGGATACCCTCCAAGAAGTGAAAGGTTGACTGGTATTTGTATCTTGAGCGACATGTCCTGACTTGTTCCTGCTTGTAGTTGACGTGGGAATTCGTTCACTCAGCTTCACTGACAGTTGTACTCCAGAGCTTACACAGACCGTTCCGTTTTCCTTCACTTTGTCTGATTTCTGGGCAACCAGGACTGATAGATGCGACTATCGTACATTAGACAGTGACTAATGGGCAAAGGTCCTACAGACCGCCCAGACAAACAAATGACGAATAGTATAGACCGTTCCGTATTTTCACTGGATACAGTTTTTTATCAAATTAATAAGCACGATCCTCAAGTGATGAGGAAACTATAGAAAATAATGGCAACGACCTGCAGTTCATCGCAGATGAAATTGCCATTGCTCCCATTATTTGCAAAAGTCACAAGTTCCAAAAATAAAAATGAGAAAGGACGATGCCTTGAAGATGTTGAAAAAATACAAATCAACATTCGGTAAACCATTAGATACTAAAGGCTCATGGTTGGTAGTTGGAAACTTGATCCATTCGTTCGACTGTGCAACTATGCTGTTCGCAACTCTATCCACAGACCGAGATACCGTTGCTTGACTAACACCAAATTCCTGACAAATACCTTGTTGATATCCAGGGTCACCGAGATAGCGTAGACAGATCTTCATTTTATGAATAGATGAAAGTGCTCCTCCTCGAGCTTCCTCATTCTCAACTAAAAATCTGTACGCAAGCCATTGTACATTTGCTTCGTCGAACCGATATAATTTTTTGTCACGACCAAGTGAAGGTAAACGAGGTTTGTACGTTTTAACATCCCTAACATCCACAATTTCCGCCATCATCGTTTGACCACCTTTCGTTACGAAATTGAGTCTGCTACTGACCAGACTCAGAATTTTTGAAGGATATGCTTCCTATGCCAAGTATAAGGTGAAGATTATGAAAATCCTTTTACTTATGCCACTGCTTTGAAGGATAAGCTTATACTCAAAAAGCAAAAACATATACTTCAAATTATTATAAATACCATCTGGAGGATTTCCTTCAAAAGTTGCAAGTACAAGGATATCCTTTGTTTTATGAATACAGCTCAATGCAGTGGCGGCCGGTGGCTGTGAGAAATGGGGGGCTATTGTAGGGAAGGGTGGCCTGTCGCAGTCACCGCCGGAGGCAAAGAATTTTTACGGTGCCACGCCCAAAAACTTCCATTTTGAGCCTTCAAATTCAAATATACATTTTTAGAGCTATAATTTTTTTGCATTTTTTATGTCCTGATTTTGTGGATGGATCAGTTGGCAATCCTATACCTATATATTTTATGTACAGTCCTCTGTATAGGAACAAACATATTTTAGGTACGAGAACTTATCGCAAAAGAAAGCAGCATCTAATATGAAAGCAACAGAGCATCTATTATCAAAAGAACAACAGTACTCAAAAGTATAGTTTTTCACTTTCTTACAACGCATGTAACTATAAATAACTGGAAAAGAGAACAGAAATACGATATACCTAAATGTATTATTGTATTATAAACGACTAAGTATACCTACCTACAGCTAGAGCAAACATTGTGTTTCAACTGTCACACTTCACACTTCTATTTATTACAAAATATTTTTTAATGTTTATATGTAAAGTCTAATCTTCTGTCTTTCTGTGAAATAAAATGTTCCATCACTTTTTCGTCGAAATTGCTGATATTATGTACCAGATTCTTATTAACAGACATCATTGCCAATGCATTCAGTCGTTCATTGCCCATCGAGTTTCTTAAAAACGATTTTATCCTCTTAAGGGTTGAGAAACAGCGCTCTGCTTCGGAAGTTGACATGGGAGTAGTTATAATTATTTGCAACAACTTAGTTACTTCGCAAAAAGTTTCCTCTAGGTTGTTATTAGTCAATAGGGACAGCAAATTCAAACCACCTGTAATATTTTTGAAGTCTTCCCTCATGTACATTACTTCTAATTCGGTTTTCAGTTTTTCTTTATTTTACCATTGGATAATAAGTCACAACTGAATTCAGTATTTTTGCTGGAAAATATCTCGAATAGTTTGTGAAGTTTTGTGTATCTAATAAAGATGCAGCTTCTAGATGACCCCTGTAAGAAAGTCTCTCTTTTGTCTGTACAATTATTATATCGCAAACTTCTTTTGCAATAATACAATTTCTTTCTTCGGGTCCTACTTTTCTGCGTTTATTTCCATTGTCTCCATGCTCATTTTCAACAGTTTGCTGTATATCCTCTGTAGTGTCCCTAATCAATACAATGGCCTTCTCAAATACGTCAATATCTTTTAAAAGTTGTACACTGTCTTTATTCCTACTTTGAAACTGGTTAAACAAAATAGCTACGTGCGGTAGGGTTTTGTGAAAAAAACTCAAAAAAAAGATGAAATCAGAATCTTCGAGTGCTCTTCTTAAACCGTATGCCTCCTTACTAGTAATTGTTTTATCACATTTATTCTCTAACTCCCGGAAACAATCAATAAGACTTTCACGGTTCTCAAAAACGGCACTGACTGTGCGAATGTTATAATTCCACCGTGTTGGCGCAACCTTTGGCATTTTGGTTTTAACTATTTTTTCCAATAAATCGCATCTGTGCGTGGAGTTGGAGAAGAAACTTGGAATTGCCGACAGGTTTGAAAAAAACACTTTTACTTTTGGATTTTGGCTGGTTCCTCTCTGCATAATTAAGTTCAGTTGGTGAGCGTAACAGTGTATAAAATGAGCGTTCTGATATTTTTGTTTGATTTTTGTTTGAACTCCACCACTGCTACCGCTCATTACGTTTGCACCATCATAAGTTTGCGCAATTAATTTGTGGGGTGAATCTTTTAATAATGGGCCTAGTTCTTCTTCGATACACTTTGCCAAACCTTCAGCTGTCTTGTCCGTAACGCTCAAAAAACGCCAAAATCTTTCTTGTATTTCACCTTCATGGAGATATCTAAATATCATTACCATTTGACAATGATGTGAAATATCTGTTGTTTCGTCGCACTGTATAGCTAAAAACTCTGCTGCATTAATTTGCTGTCGAATTTCTTGTTGGCAGACTTCCAACATACTATCTAGTATTTCATTTTGTACTGTTTTAGAAGTACCCTTAAACAGTGTCGCACTTTTTAAATGTTCCTTTAATATTGTATCCAGTTCGGACGTAAAATTAATCAACTCTCGAAAAATGCCACGATTTTCAGAGTCTTCACTTTCGTCGTGCCCTCTTAACGCTAATTCCAATTTACCGCAAAACTTTATAAAGTTTATTATTCTTTTTAAAAGATATCTATTTTTGTCCACTTGCTCGTTGTGCTTAATAATATTTTGCCTGTAAGCGGAATCTAACTGAGCAGCGATACTAGCTGTTCCCAATAAAGCTAATTCTGTCGAACAAATCATGTGACGAGCCGAATTTTCATGCTTACTAATTTTCTGGTTTATATGCTTTAAATCTTTAAATCCAGTTCTTGTCCATGTCTTTTCCGCTGCATCTGAATAAAACAGTAAGCACGGAAAACAAAACAGGGCGTTTAATGTGCCACAACCGCATATCCATTTGTTTTTGTTATAGATATCTTTCTTAAAATGTCTCTTAAAACAACCAGCTTTCGTCGATTTATCAGCCTGAGTAAGGTTGATATTTGGAATCGGCCTTCCAAGGGATTTTATTATTATTTTTTCAGCAAGCGGAAGCCGAGAAAATTCACCTTTTAACAAATTTTGTACTTCATTTGCCATTTTAAACTTTTTGAACGCCCGAACGACGGCACGGGGACGCGACGAAGCGATTTCGTACACACGTAAATCGGGACTGGCTAAAAATTATTTCGCCACCTCGCGTGTTAAAATCCCGTATAAAACTCGTAAGCGCGTGGGGGGTATGACGTAGAGAGCCACTCAATCAGGTCGGCGATCGCGGCAAAAATTATTCTAGCCTCGAATCGATAGGGAATCTAGCTCGCGACTTCGGGGTATTGGGATCGGATAATATATATATATATATATATATATATATATATATATATTGCGTGTTGCGTAACTGGCTACTATTAAAATTCAGGTTTTGATTGAATTTTCGTATATATCTGGAAATTATTTAATCACAAAATCATATTTTAAATTTTTTGTTAATTCGCATTTTGTCTTGGGGGGCTGTAGCCTTTTCGCCGCTATGGACCGGCCGCCACTGGCTCAATGTCTTAATTTGAAAGTTTTTCGCGATTACAATAGTTCCTCGCCAAGAGTGGAAAAACGAATCAGCACTAATATATGAGCGATCCCCATTCTCCATTCTACACCACTGGGCTGAAAGAACACATGTACTGAGCAAATTACATAAATGCATGATAATCCAACACTACCCGATAATTTAGGCAGTTAAGTAGTGTATTTTTTATACGTTTGTTGTCTTTCCCGGTACGTTTCGCGAGCTAATGTCAAAGTAAATGATACGGTTTTTCCTCGTTTCCCAGCATGTTTGTGGTGCGGTTTACCAGGCATGCCGGTGAGAAGAGAGCGGTGGGAGGAGGACGTGCAGCCTTGTATAATTAAGGTAGGAATAAGGGCGTAGGGAAAATGATATAATAGCCTTACGTTTGGAGTTAGGGGGTAACGAGAGTCATGGTGCTTTAAGGAGTTGGTGGCAGTAGATGATTACTGATGGATTTGAATCGCGCAAAGGTAATATGCAGGTAATTTCAGCATGCGGCTTAGTTTCTGTTACATGGAACTGTTTTAATATGGAGAGTGTCTCAATACAGAAGTAGAGAAAATTTGACAAACATGGTACGTCAGATTACTTGGATTCAATTAATCCGTCTAATAAATGAAGGCCCATATTATGATAAACTATCACGTACGTATCAAGATGGTTGAACCGTATTCAATGACACAGTCCACTGAAAAACTGGAAAAAAATTCATGAACAAACTTGATGCAAAGTAGATTCCAACTAGGTGAAGAACGAGG